AAGATTCCAAGATTTGCTACCAAGATTCAACCTTTCACCTATTTGGGCATCTAGGAGGGTAAGATCTAAGTCCCTCTTGTGTTTTTGGTTCCATCTTAGTTGTCTTTTTATTAAAGGTAGGATCTTTATGATCTTTTGGTTTAATCTTGAAGTGGGTTTGGAAAGTAAGCCTTGTGGGGAGCTTGTTGTGGTGTAAAGTGAAGTCTTTTGGTCTACAAGAGGTAACTCATGCTCTACAAAACCTATTTTGCTTACCTATATGTGATTTCTTGGATTCTACTTGTGTTTTGCTATGAAATGTGAGGGTTTATGCATTTGTCTTGTGATATTGCATATCTAGAGCTTGTGTTTAGGGTTCCTTTGTGCCATTGCTTGGCATTTTCCATGATTCAAGTCATTTTGTTGTGTTGGGTGAGATTTGGTATGTTTTGGACTTGAATTTGTGTTTGGAGAAGAAAATCCCCGAAGGGATTTGTTGTGGAACAGGAGTGTTCCCGCGGGCGGAACGGCGGGCGGGGCACCACCCGCCGGCCTACCCGCGGGTACATAGCCCTGTGGGAATATGTTCCCGCGGGCGGAACCACGGGTGGGGCACTACCCGTGGGTCCACCCGCGGGGAACACTGTGGTGTTTGTTCGGGATTTGTTTCCCGTGATCCGTTTGACTCGGTATTTGATCTTTTGACTTCCCGATGTTCTTTTGTGGAACTATTTGTGTGTCTTCTTGATGTTTCGTATGTCTAGAACTATATGGTAGGATTCCATGTAGGTTTTGGTGTCTTGAATCATGCTAAGTGTTCAACATTGTGTTTCGTTGAACCGTGATGGGTCTTGTGTGTTCTTCGGAACTACCTTTGGTTTACCCGTTTGATAAGCATGCTAGTTCGGTGTTTAAATGCTAGCGTGTGTGTTGTTTGTACCTTCCGATTGGTTGATGATAACTTGTGTTATTCATCATTATTGTTATTGGGTTGTGACCCATTCCTTGATTGAGTATGGTTTCATATCTTCGTTGTGATCCGTTGATTGATTCTTGCTGTGGTGTGATGTGTGTGTGGCTTTACCTGGATTGCATGATTAGTGGTATGGGACACTAGTCACCAAGGTATTGCAGCGGTCATCGTGGTGGCCGTGACGTGATTATGGAGTTGTGGCCTTTGTGTAAGGTTCACGTTTTATGGGGGATAACATGTGTTATCCGGGCATGTGTGCATGTGTGTACGGTACCTTGTGTACTATGAATTGGTGATCTCGTTGGTGGTCGTTGGTGGGGGACGACGGTCCCAGGGGAATAAGGTTGGACTTGGCTGTACAGGGGTCTTGGAGGTAATGGTTGGAAGAAGGTATAAGGTTGGGGGTAGCCATAAGGTTAGAACAGGGCATAAGGAAGGCATATCAACTCGTGATGGGTGATGTTGCGAGGGCTTGTGTAGCCGGTGTTGTGTGTTCTTCTCTTGTGACGTGTGTAGTCACGGAGGCATGTGTTGCTTTGGCATGTGTTGCCATCGGTCTTGTCTTTATCCTTTGCGTTGTGGTTAACCTTTGTGGTTTGGGATGTGTTCCCGTGTTATCCTTGTGAGTGGTGAGTCTTGTGTTGACTGTTTCTTGGCTTTTGACTTATATACTTATGTATTCCGTTTCGAAAATGGTTTTACAACTTATATCTATCTATGTATGATATTTCACATGTATTGGTGGGTTACCAGCAATTATCGCTGACCGGGCGTCGTCCCAATGTTTATCTTTGTATCTTTCAGGTGATGTCTAGATGAGCGCGATGTCTAGTGGCCGGTAGCTTAGTACCTTTACCCTTGTTTTGTGGCCTGTATGCCAATGTAGTTTTAGACTGATGTCTTTGGGATAGATGTATACACTTGCAGATTGATCGCCGTAGCGTTTACCGTGTTTGGTAAACGTGGCGTAACACCCCGTTTGGATTTCTTTTATCCAGTTCTCGTTTTATCTTCTGCTGTGCTAGTTTTGTTGTTTGATCTGCATGTGTTAAGGCTTTTTATCTAGCTTGTTTGGGGGGTGTTACAGTTTTGGACCCTATAAAATACCTCTTTAGCTTCATTGTGTTTTCCTGATCTCTTCTTTATTTCCCCTCAAGCTCTTGGCTGCCAAAACAATAAGTATTAGCATTCATCTCCTCCATTCATTTTCCATACTAAGGTTCCCTTCTCTCTTAGCTTTCATTCTCTGAGGTTTGTTTAGGCTTGGCTTGTGTTGTTGTTTGAGGTGTCTAGGTGATGATAGAGTGGTGTATGAGAAGGGTGGATGCTGAGATTCACACAAGGAAGAAGAACAAGAAGAAGATGCAACAAAGGTATAACCCCAGGGGCTCCCTCTTTGATTTTGGCTCTGTGAATCCTATTTTATTGAGAAGAAATAAGTAGAAATGGTGGATTTTTATTGTGTTTGAGCTTGAAAGTGATCTAGTATTTGTCTTTGAAGTGTTGAGAATGTTTTGGATGTTTTGGACATGCTTGGAATGTGTTTTTGCAGATGAAAGATCTATCTGGTGCACACACAGTGTGCACCAGACCAGAGTAGCGGCCTAGCCGCGGCCCATCAGGAGGGCCGCCGGCTAGAGCCGGGGCCAACCGGGCCTAGGGCACGGCCCTAGGAGAGGGCCGTTTCCTAGGCCCGGCCATGTAACGGCCTTCATGGGGCGGCTCATGAGGAATCCCACCCCAGGTCCCTGAGTATTGTTCTAAGAAGATTCTGTGCAGTGGCCGGGCCCTTGTGGCTCAGCTACGTGTCGTTTCGGGCCAGGTGTCACGGGCCCTTGTGGCTCGGTACCTCGGGGCCGTCTCGACGCACGTTTTGGCTTTGATTTCGTTGAATTTGGATTAGAAATGAGCATGTTATGATGGATTTGGTGATGTTTTTGCTTCACAGTACTATTTGTTGAGTTCACTGTAAATGAGATTTGCCTTGTTTTATCTTACTGATGTTGTTGAGAAATGAATAGAAAAGCATGATCATTTTGAGAATTTGATTTATTAGAAAAGCATGACTAGAATGTGTTGTTTGATCAATGGGATTTGGAGTATATTTTGATGATAGAAATATATAGAGTTTGATATGTTGAAAACCGAGTATGATATTGTATCCTTGAGAATTTTATGGATTATATGTGACACCCCAAAATCCAAATCCAATTAAGGGATTAATTGAGTAATTAATCCTATTTCAATTTGTAATTTAATTCCTTAAATTCCTGAAATTTAATAGTTGGGGACTAGTAATTGACTAGTCAACCACCCCAAAGTCAAAGTTGTACCTTGAGCTTTGTAGGGAATTCCCTTGTTCCTTACACTTCCTTATGTTAGTAAGGGTATTCTTGACCTTTCACTTGTTGTTGGTAATGTAACTTAACCTAGTAAGACCACTTTCATTCTCTCCTTACACTTTTATAAAAATCTAGCTCCACCCTTCCTCTAAAAGGTGAGTAGCTTTTCTTCCAAGCCAAGTTGGAACCTTGCCAAAACTTCAAGAGGTTCTTCCAAGATTCAACCTTTCTTATATTTGGGCATCTAGGAGGATAATATCTAAGTTCATCTTGTGTTTTTGGTTTTATCTAATGTGTCTTTTCTTAAAGATAGGATCTTTATGATTGGTAGGGAATACCCCAACTGACACGCCTTCGTCTTTTGTTCTTGTTTATGCAGCTTGCAGGTCGGACTTTCTTAGAGGAACCTGGTCGTGCCCGACCGGTAAAACACCCGACCGGCGTCTTCAGTACCCGATTGATAGCCCTTAGGCGAGAGAGTCGAGATGAAGCACGTGGTAGCGCTAGGCATTGACAGGTAGGGCTTACGGGGAGAAGACACGTCATTGCTACGTGGGTGACATGCCAAACGACCGGACTTGTGTCTCCGGCCCAGCGGCTATAAATACCCGCGGTTGCAGCAGTGTGGGGGACTTTTGGACGATCGATAGGCTATTCTCAGAGCATCCCGACCGCAGTCAGTCGGCCCTCGAAATAGCCATTGTAGATTGTATTTAGGACCCTCACCTTGATCAATAAAGACTTTTACTTGCTTTAAATTGGTCTTGTGTTATTTTATTTACCGCTTACGTGGGAATTAACACTATCATTTTGGCGCCGTCTGTGGGGACCCGTGCAAGTAAGCTAACGTTTGACGAGCACCGGTCTTATCTCTCATTATGTATCCATTCGCATACAACCTCCTCGACGACGATCAAGCGGATGCGGCCAGTTCATCCGATCATCAGCCGACTCAATACCAAGGTCAGACTATCGACCTCAATCTCAACCTCTCACCACCCCATCCAGCAGTTCAGTACCCGGCCGCCCAATAGCCGGTCAATTATATCCAACCGGGATATCCAACACCCGGTCAGCAGCCTCAATACCCCGGGCAATATCCCTACCCGGTTCCACCTCCACCATACGGATATTGGCCCGCTCAACCGATGTTCTACACACCACCGGCCGGTTATCCCCCCTACACGCCTGCGTACACGGCTCCAGCCGCCGCTCCTCCGATTTACCCGACTGCACAGGTAGAGCCGGAGCATCAGCCCACTTCCCGGGCTCGACGCTCGGCTCGTTCGTGGTTGGGGTCGCAGGGTGCCGAGGCCATGGAGGTACCACGACAGGCTCAACAGGCACAACCGGAAGCCCAAGCCCAAACAGAGGACCCTGAAGAAGTCAACCGGGCAGTAGCATTTGAGCGCCTCCGACCAGCAATGCAGCAGCGATTGGTTCCGTAGGACCCGAGCCGGCGCTCAGGAGATGTGCCGATGCAGGAGGCCAGCCAGGAGGCTTCATCCGGACATAGTGGGTCGAGATCGCATCGTCGACGACGCGCTCGGGAAACTACCCAGGCCTAGACGATCGAGCTGAACGAGACCCGATGACTGCTCCATAACCTCCAGGCAGAATTTGCTCGGTTTCGAAACGAGCACACAGCGAGGCCCCCGGTCGACCAGTCAGCCTCCTTATTGAGGACACCCTTCACGGCGGAGATTATGGCCCAGCCATACCTGCTCGATCTACAAGTCCCGGGGAATAAAGGTTACGATGGCCGTACGGACCCTGAGGTCCATGTCAATGACTACTACGGCAATATGATGATGATGGGCGTATCAGACGCCGTGATGTGTATGGCTTTCTACTCCACGCTTTCCGGTCGGGCGGCGGAGTGGTTCCGAACGTTGCAGCCGGGTTCTATTTCTGACTTCCCTACCTTGGCTATGAAGTTTGTGCGGAAGTTTATTACTTCCAAAATAGTGAGGAAGCCCTACATGTACTTGGAAAAGGCCGAGCAGCTTGAAGGGGAAAACTTGTCTGATTTCCTTGTCAAGTGGAAGGCCGCGGTCGGGGAAGTCGAACCGATGGATGACGCCACCGCCACCCATATGCTCCATATTTCTCTCCGGGCGGGTTATCTCTATCAGGATTTCATCTTCCATCCCCCGGCCACTTATGAAGAAGCCCTTCGAAGGGTGACGCATTACGCTAATGCCGGAGAAGCGAACGCCGTCAAAAGATCGCAGGAGGTCGGGACTTCATCCCGTAAACCAGCCGGCCGGGCGGAGCATCGGTCGGGTGATGACCATCCCCAATCCCGCACCAGGCCTGGCGAGTTTACGACCTTGAACCGATCAACGGCGGAAGCTATGCAGTACGCCCAATCTTGCAATCTTATCCGACTCCCCCATCCCGGACAAGACGGACCGGACAAATCTAAGCATTACGCTTATCACCGGTGTGCCGGGCATGACACTGAAGAGTGTACCCACTTACGCGAGCTATTGGAAGATTTGCTCAGTATCGGAAAACTGGACAAGTGTGTGGGGAAAAGAGAAGAAACGAAGAAGAATACCGATCGGAGAGATCATCGACGTTCACATCACCGCTCTGATCGCTCCGATCGTGCTGAACGCTTAGATCGGTCGGGTCATGACCACAGGGATGACCGCCGAGATGACCGCCGGGACCCCGACCCTCCATCTAGCAGCCGACCGGCAGGCAAGCCGACCATCCACGTCATTTTTGGTGGATTGGATGATGCTTCCCGACCGAGGGAGAACTACCTGGTCGCGATCGTAGACTCCCGTGATACCAAGAAAAGACAAAAGATGGAGCCCATAACCTTCACCTTGGAGGATCAGCCCAACAGTGGTGACCACGGCTTGGAAGCGCTCGTGGTTACGATCGATGTGAATGGGACCGATGTCCAGAGGGTTATGGTGGACACGGGGAGCAGTGTCAACGTCCTTTATTTGGATGTGTTTGAGAAACTTGGACTCAACAAGAGAGAGCTGATTCCGGTCGGTGTACCATTGTCGGGATTTACCGGGGCTCTTGTTCGCCCTGAAGGAAAGATCGTGATCCCGGTAGAGATCGGCACCCCGCTGAAATCTATCAAGACCGAGATGGAGTTTGTTGTGGTGAACTTGCACTGTGTCCAAAACATCATCTTGGGCCGACCAGCGATAATGAAGATCGGTGGGATAATTTCCATGCCCCACCTATGCATGAAATTCCCCACCCCCAATGGGGTCGGCATAGTTCGCGGAGATGTTCAATCCGCGCGGAAGTGTTACACCCGGGCTGTGAACAAGCGTGATACTGGCACCTCTTCCTGGGTGAACACGATCATCAAGGAAGCTACCAGCGACCGGAAGGAGCAACCCGAGCCTTCCGAGGAAATCGAAGAAGTTCCCCTGTCCGAGGACCGACCGGACAAGAAGATCAAGATTGGCCGGGCCCTTACCCCCGAGCTCCGAGCAGAAGTCTTGGCAATTCTCCGGGAGTTTGCTGATATCTTCGCGTGGGGGCCCGAAGACATGCCCAGGATCGACCGAACGGTAATTTGTCACAAGCTTGCCGTCGATCCCGCAGCCAAGCCGGTTGTTCAGAAGACTCGACATTTATCCTCCAATCGCCGCGAGTTCGTTAGAGAGGAGGTCAAGAAGATGGCGACGATCGAGCACATCCGACCGGTGATCTATCCCGAGTGGGTGGCAAATATTGTTCTTGTTCCTAAGCCCCTAGCTTGGAGGATGTGCATAGATTTCACCGACCTCAACAAGGCCTGTCCGCTCGACCCATATCCGCTCCCGAGCATTCATCAAATGGTCGACGAGACGGTCGGGGCTGAGTTGATGAGCTTCATGGATGCTTTCAAGGGATATCATCAAATAATGATGCACCATGAAGACGAGAGCAAGACAGCCTTCGTGACCCCGGACGGGCTGTATTGCTACCGAGTAATGCTGTTCGGCCTTCGCAACGCAGGAGCGACCTATCAGAGAATGGCCAATATGCTCTTCGCCGATCTGCTAGGCCGAATGATGGAAGCATACATTGACGATATGCTGGTCAAGAGTCGGGACCGATCCGACCACACTCGGGACCTCCGGGAATGCTTTCAGATCATGAGGAGGTATCAGCTGAGTTTGAACCCAACCAAATGTACATTTGCGGTTCAAACCGGGAAGTTCCTCGGCTACATGATGACCAGGAGGGGGATCGAGCCCAACCCGGCCAAGGTTAGAGCAATTCTGTACATGCAACCACCTACCACCGTTCGGGAGGTCCAGCAGTTAACTGGTCGGTTGGCAGCGTTAAGCTGATTTCTCTCCAAGGTAGCCGAGCGCTCTTTACCATTTTTCAAGGTATTGCGCAAGGTGAACGGTTTCGTCTGGGATGATGAGTGCCGAGCGGCTTTCGACGAGCTGAAGGAGTATCTTATGTCACCAATTGTGCTGTCGAAGCCAGAGCTCGGGGAAGAGCTAGACGTGTACCTCGCCGTATCCGATCGAGCAGTAAGCGTAGTATTGTGCCGAACCGATCCGGAAGGGGTCCAGCGACCGGTGTACTATGTAAGCCACGCGCTACACGGTCCCGAGCTCCGGTACTCTCGGCTAGAGAAGGTCGTCTATGCCTTGTATATCGCTGCGAAGAAGCTAGCTCCCTATTTTCAAGGAAGAGTCATTCGTGTGCTGACCGATCAGCCGATCAGCCCAGTCCTCCGTACCGCCTCATCATCTGGTCGCCTAGTCAAGTGGGCGTTAATGCTGACCCAATATGCGATCGAATACCGACCAAGACCAGCCATCAAAGGTCAAGCCCTTGCAGATTTCTTGGTCGAGTGCACCGCTTGAGATACCCGACCTCCAGAGGTTGAGGACCCCGAGGCAGAGTGGTGGTCGCTGGCAACAGATAGGTGAAGCAGCAAGAAAGGGGCAGGAGGAGGAGTGGTGGTTACAAGCCTGGAAGGATTCAAGGTTTATTTTGCTTTAATATATCAGTTCCACCCGACCAACAACGAAGCCGAGTACGAAGCCTTTGTCAATGGCTTGCAGTGTGCTTGGGACTTGGGGGCTGAATACATCCGGCCTCAAACAGATTCTGCGCTCGTGGTCGGACAGGTCCTGGGAGATTATGAAGTGAATGGTGAGCGATTACAAGTCTACCGGGACCTCACAATGGAAAAGCTCGCCTTGTTCCGGGGATACACCGTTCGACATGTACCCCGATTGGAGAATGCCGATGCGGACATTTTGTCCAAGTTGGCCCAAGACGCCCCGGAACATATGTCAAAGATCGCTCAGATTTTGGTGGTCCCGAGGTACAGCATCCATCGATTGCCGGTCGCACCTATCCAACCGGCGGAAGACAATTGGATCACCGATCTGATAGAATTCCTTGAGCACGGTCGGCTCCCAGACGACCCCCAGCATGCTCGGAAGGCCAAGCTCAGAGCTCCAAGGTTTTAGATCCTAGATGGTCGTCTATATAGACGATCGTATGGTGGACCTCTCATGCGCTGCTTGACCGCTTTTGAAGCTGATTTGGTGATGAAGGAATTGCATTCGGGCATCTGTTTATCGCATCAAGGAGGCCGTTCGTTGGCTCGTCGAATCATGTTGATCGGCTATTATTGGCCGTCTCTCCAGTTAGATTGTGAGAAGCTTGCCCGGGATTGTGAGACGTGTCAGTTATTCGCTCGGATGCCCGGACGACCGGCTACGTTCTATCAGCTGGTCACGACTGCAATTCCTTTTGCAAGTTGGGGGGTAGATATTTTGGATCCCTTTTCGCAACTGGCCGGTCGGAGAAAGTTTGTCATCGTCGCTATTGACTATTTCTCCAAGTGGATCGAGGCCGAGCCGTTAGCCACGATCACCTCCCAACAATGCGCCCGGTTCCTATGGCGCAATGTCATTTCCCGGTTTGGTGTGCCCGTGCATCTCATCAGCGACAATGGGCGCCAATTCGTGAGCCAGTATTTTCAGAACTTTCTTGACACGATCGGGACAACTCATATCCGGTCGTCGGTGGCCTACCCTAAGGGAAATAGACAGGCCGAGAACGCCAATTGGACAATCTTGGAAGGTCTGGAGAAGAAGCTACACTCGGCTGGTAGAAGTTGGGCCGAGGAGTTACCATATGTTCTATGGACTTATGGACGACCCCGAGGGAAGCAACTTTGGAGACACCATTTGCCCTTGTCTATGGGGCCGAAGCCCGACTCCCGATCGAGGCATGGATCCCGACCGCCAGAGAACGGACTTATAATGCAGAAGAGAACGAACATTCGATGGTCGTGGATCTCGATGGGGTCGAAGAAAAGAGAGAGCTAGCTACTCGGCGTATGGCCGAGTACCAGAAGCGAGTGAAGAGTTCAAAGGATGTCAGGGTCAACCCTCGGTAATTTCAGGTCGGGGACTATGTCCTACGCCGACGGGAAGCCAGTCAACCTTTGGAAGGATGAAAGCTAGCTCAAAACTGGGAGGGGCCATATGTCATCACCGCTGTAATACGGCCGGGAACCTACCGACTGGAGACGACGACCGGTAGGCAGATCGAGGGAACTTGGAATTCCGAGCACCTCGTCTTGTTTAGGCATTAGCCGTTTTTTGTAATTATTGACAAATTGGGGGCTCAACCTGTGAGTGGGTCCTGTTCGTCCTGTTTGTAAATTATTTGTTGTAAATATTTTTGACCGTCTGTGAACGGGAATTTTTAATGTAAATATGATCGGTGATTGCTCGACCATTTGCATACGGCGGCCCGATCGGTTTTTTAATTCTCTTACTATAATGTAGGTTGCTTTGAATTTGCTTCCACAACCAGTCGTGCTTGGGATCTACCCGATCGAGCCTCGGCAACAACAATGAAGACGGGCTTTTCGCCCAACCCAACACCTCTCCCTCGGTTCCAACCGATAGGGGTGTGCAACAAAATGGCTCTAATAGTCGTCAACCTAATTGGCTCTAATAGTCATCTAACGAATTGGCTCTAATAGCCGTTTATAACTTAGTCGGGCGAATTTATCGACCGGCTAATGCGCTCATCTTCGGCGGACACTCGGGTCACGCCACCAATTGGGAAAGCAAGAGCTACAGCAAAATTTTCCCGATTCGTCCAACTTCTTTCCATTGTTGCACTCACTCGTGCCTCAAGCGCACAACAATATGGGGGCTAGGATGAAGGAAGTGTAAGGCCAAGCAATCGGGAACAACCCGAGCAGCAAGGCCAAAATCTTTTTCGAATTGTCGACAAGGCCGTCTGGTCGGGATAATCCCAAACGGACAGGCCAAAGACTTCGACATTACGAACGGCCAAAAGACCATCGGTCGGGAAAGCACGACCAGGCCATTAGGCCGAAGGGTCGGGTAATGAACGGCCAGCATACAAACAGATAAAAGTAAAATGCATCTAAATAGAACGAGCGAGATAAGATGGACAAAAGATGATTTCATTAAATTGTTCAAAGGTGCCCGGTATAAAAGCGGGACCGTGCTCCCGATCAAGTACATCTACACAAAAGGGAAAAGAAAGCCTAGCTACTTCTTCGCGGCGGCGTCGCTTGGCTCGGCCACTTCATCTTTGGGGTCGAACGGCGGCGGGCCGGGGTCGGCAACTTCGGATGGAAGGGTCGTCAGGACCAGGTCGAGATCTTCGCCCTCAAGGGCCTCTCGCATGTAGGCCTGGGTTTTTTCACACATCTTCCGCTGGACAGACTTGAATCCCCAGCGGCCGAACGTCCAAATCAAGGCCTCCCCGACCTTGGTTTTCCGGACCTCCCGGAGGAACTTTGTCCCGGACGCATCGTCCCGGAAAAGGAACTGCGCCAACTCTCCAAGGTTAGCCAGTCGGGTCTTCAGCATCGTCGACACCCCGAGAGCCTCCTTGGCCGCCTTTTCGGCCACTTCCTGAGCTCCCTTCGCAGCTCGGGCCGCTTTCTCGGCCGTGTCCCGTTCCTCCTTGACCTTCTTCTGCTCGGTCCGGAGGTCGGTGTTCTCCTTTTGTCGCTGCTCCCCGACGTTTTTTAGGGCGTCAGCTTAATTAGCCAGCAGTGCTCGGCGCTGGAGAAGCTGGGTCGCTCGAGAGATCTGCAAAACAAGCAAGACGCTCGGGATTAGCCCGAGCGGAGGAACTTGTATAAATACCTGAAATCGAAATGTCCTTACCTCGGCCAGGTCGTGGCCAATTTTCTCGGCCACTTGGGTCGGGGTGAGTTTGCTCAGATCCTCCTTGATCGGCCCGGCATTGCCGATCCGCGTAAGGACGGATGCGTCGCCCTTGAGGACCTTAGCTGGGGGGCCCGGGATGCGCTGCTCTCTTCGGCGCTTCAGTGCGCCGCTCTCTGCAACCCCCTTTTCGGACACATTCTCTTTGCCTTTGGGGGCAGTCACCCGGGTGACAAGAATGTCTGAGGCGTCGACCACATAGCCTTCGGCTGTGGTAACGGTTGCTGATGTGCCTTTTGGCCGGGCGGTCGGGATTTGTTTATCCCCGGCCGGCTTGCCCTTGATCTTTTTCTTCCCGAGCACGATCTTAGCTATGGGGGCTCGGGGTGCCTCATTTTCTTCGAATCCTGCCATTTTTGCAAACAAAAAGAAATTGGTTAGGTTAAGGTCGGAAAATGATCGGGGAGTTAGGGTCGGGGACGATCGGTTAGTGTTAGACCTTCATTCTCTGCCTCAGCCTGAACTGCCGCCTTCGCAATTGTTACGCCCGGCACGGGCAAGTATTTCTCCTCCAAGTAGTATCTTGGCGGTGGCAGTCGGGCTTCGTCGTAGCATTCCCTCGAGCGAAAGATCTTGTATTCGTGGATCTCGCTCGAGATCTTAGCGATGGCGTCCTGAAGAGCCTTTGTCTCGAATGGTACTACTTGCTTCCGGTAATGAGTGCTCCATACCCTTTCGACCGGGAGGATCCACGGGTCGTACTCGACCGAGAAGGTGCTGTTCTTCCAGCCTTTGTTGTTCCCGAGAAGACTCTCGATTGCACACATATCCGCCCGGGATTGTATCTGTGACACCCCAAAAATCCACATTCAATTCATGGATTAATTGAGTAATTATCCTATTTTATTTGAAGAATTAATTCCTAAAATCCTGATTTTTAATACTCGAGGACTAGTATTTGACTAGTCAACTTCAAAGCTATGTTGTACCTTGAGCTTTGAGGGGAGTTGCCTTGTTCCTTACACTTTCTAAAGGTTAGTAAGGGTATCCTTGACTTTTCACCAAGAGTTAGTATTGTAACCTAACCAAGAAGACTTCTTCATTTCATTCCTTACATTTCCTAGAAATTAGCTATACCTTCTCTCTAGAAAGGTGAGCAGCTTATTCTCCAAGCTAAGTTGAGACCCTTGTCAAGATTCCAAGATTTGCTACCAAGATTCAACCTTTCACCTATTTGGGCATCTAGATCTAAGTCCATCTTGTGTTTTTGGTTTCATCTTAGTTGTCTTTTTCTTAAAGGTAGGATTTTTATGATCTTTTGGTTTAATCTTGAAGTGGGTTTGGAAAGTAAGCCTTGTGGGGAGCTTGTTGCGGTGTAAAGTGAAGTCTTTTGTTCTACAAGAGGTAACCCATGCTCTACAAAACCTATTTTGCTTACCTATATGTGATTTCTTGGATTCTACTTGTGCTTTGCTATGAAATGTGAGGGTTTATGCATTTGTCTTGTGATATTGCATATCTAGAGCTTGTGTTTAGGGTTCCTTTGTGCCATTGCTTGGCATTTTCCATGATTCAAGTCATTTTGTAGTATTGGGTGAGATATGGCATGTTTTGGACTTGAATTTGTGTTTGGAGAAGAAAATCCCCGAAGGGATTTGTTGTGGTACAAGTGTGTACCTGCGGGCGAAACGGCGGGCGGGACACCACCCGCCGGTACATGGCCTTGTGGGAAGGTGGTCCCGCGGGCGGGACGACGGGTGGGGCACTACCCGAGGGTCCACCCGCGGGGAACACTGTGGTGTTTGTTCGGGATTTGTTCCCCGTGATCCGTTTGACTCGGTATTTGATCTTTTGACTTTCCGATGTTCTTTTGTGGAACTATTTGAGTGTCTTCTTGATGTTTCGTATGTCTAGAACTATATGGTAGGATTCCTTGTAAGTTTTGTTGTCTTGAGTCGTGCTAAGTGTTCAACATTGTGTTTCGTTGAACCGTGATGGGTCTTGTGAGTTCTTCCGAACTACCTTTGGTTTACCCGTTCGATAAGCATGCTAGTTCGGTGTTTAAATGCTAGCGTGTGTGTTGTTTGTACCTTCCGATTGGTTGATGATAACTTGTGTTATTCATCGTTATTGTTGTTGGGCTGTGACCCATTCCTTGATTGGGTATGGTTTCATATCTTCGTTGTGATCCGTTGATTGATTCTTGTTGTGGTGTGATGTGTGTGTGGCTTTACCTGGATTGCACGATTAGTGGTATGGGACACTAGTCACCAAGGTATTGCAGCGGTCCTCGTGGTGGCCGTGACGTGATTATGGAGTTGTGACCTTTGTGTAAGGTTCACATTTTATGGGGGATAACATGTGTTATCCGGGCATGTGTGCATGTGTGTACGGTACCTTGTGTACTATGAATTGGTGGTCTCGTTGGTGGTCGTTGGTGGGGGACGACGGTCCCGGGGGAATAAGGTTGGACTTGGTTGTACAGGGGTCCTGGAGGTAATGGTTTGAAGAAGATATAAGGTTGGGGGTAGCCATAAGGTTGGAACCGGGCATAAGGAAGGCATATCAACTCGTGATGGGTGATGTCACGAGGGCTTGTGTAGCCGTTGTTGTGAGTTCTCTTTCTTGTGACGTGTGTAGTCACAAAGGGCATGTGTTGCCATCGGTCTTGTCTTTATCCTTTATGTTGTGGTTATCCTTGTGGTCTTGGGATGTGTTCCCGTGTTATCTTTGAGAGTGATGAGTCTTGAGTTGGTGTTTACTCTTGGTTTTACACTTATATACTTATGTATTCTGTTTCGAAAATGGCTTTATAACTTATATCTATCTACGTATGATATTTCACATGTATTGGTGGGTTACCAGCATTATTCGCTGACCGGGCATCGTCCCATGTTTATCTTTGTGATCTTTCAGGTGATGTTTAGACGAGCGCGATGTCTAGTGCCTGGTAGTTTAGTGCCTTTCCCTTGTTTTTGGCCTGTGAGCCGATGTAGTGATAGACTTATGGATTTTGGGATAGTTGTGTACACAATGCAGATTTGACCGCCGTAGCTTTTATCATTGTTGGTAAACGTGGCATAACACCCCTGTTTGGATTTGCTTTTATCCAGTTACCTTTTTATCTTCCGCTGTGCTAGTGTTTTGTTGTGTTATCTGCATGTGTTAAGGCTGTTGTTTTAGCTTGTTTTAGAGGGGTGTTACAGTTGGTATCAGAGCCTAGGTTTTGAGCCTAGGAAGAGTTGAGTCTAGACTTTCTAAGTGGTTAAGTGTGTTTTGAGACCTCTATGCGACCTTAAGAAGCTAAGTGTTAGGCTTAGGACTCTAGGTTGCGCGGTGAGCTGTGTGTTGCTTTCTGTTCTTTGCTTGTTTGCTATATTTTCGTAATCGTGTTGTTGTTGTAAAAGTTTGCGATGCCTCCTCGTCCCCGAGCTTGCACCCCGGAGACCCCGACGAACGAGCAGCTCGCTCAGAATCTCCATCAGCTGACGCAGACGATGCAGACGCTCAGTGAAGCCTTGCTGAACAACAACCAAGCTGCGCCGCCTCCTCCACCTGCTGGGCACCGCGATATGGGTCGCTTGGTGTCGGGACATAGGCCGCCAACCTTCGCGGGTGAGGAAGACCCGGTGGTTTTGGAAGAATGGATGAGGGTGTTCGACAAGATCTTCACGGTTGTAGGTTGTCCCGATGAGAGAAGAGTAGAACTGGCAACGTTCTACTTTTGCCAAGAAGATGATCTGTGGTGGGTCCACGAAGGTCCGACCTTCCTTGAAGAGCCTGAGTTTGGTTGGTCCGCGCTTA